CCAGGGGCGGAGCAGAACTGAGCCAAGGGCTGAGCCAACAATAACAAGCGATCCATGTCATTCGGGCGACACGCGGTTGCCGCAACTCCGTTCACTCTTCAGGCCCTTCAGGCCGCGACGAGAGGAAGGAACGGCCATGCTGTAGAGTCGAAGACGGCATTGTGGAGGCATGTCGCAATCCGCAATGCATGTCCTTTTGCGAATGCCTCATGCAGCACTTCTGATCCGAGCTGGCCTCGAGGCTGAAGTCTGAAGCTTTGCAACGCCAATGAAACTTGGCTGACTTGGCATATCGGGCGAGATACAAAAACATGCATGCGATCCCCGCTTTTCTTCAGCCTCTGCAGCACCTCCTGAGCCCCTGCACAGCCCCTGGTGCCGCTTTCAATCACTTCTTCTCCTTCTCCGACTTCTCCTTCTCCCTGCCTTCGAAGCCGATTGCAAGCCGGGTCTTCGGCCTTCTAAGTAAGGCCCAAGCCAAGCCGAGGCCCAAGCCGGCCCGAGTCTTTCTCCTTCTGCAGCAGCCTCCAGAAGAGCGAGCCCTCACGGCCCCACACGAAAGGGGCCCCTTCGGGCCGAGCCCAGCGCCAAAGCAGCAGAGCACCAGTGAACGGAACCACCTCGGAAGTTTACTCTCGGTCAAGGAACGAATGAGGCATTGCTAACTTCACAACGCATGCCGATGTTCTTGCAATCCTCGGGCACAACTGACACCAATGCAACCCGATGAGTTAATATGCTTGATGCTTTGCCAGGCAACTTCAAGCAAGAGCCTTGTAAAGCTTAACAAGCCGCTTGCCTAAGCGGCAGCTCGGGGCACCCGCATCAGAGACTCCAGCAGCCCCAAAGCCAGCACTCCAAAGACCAAGGCCTCGGGATGCTGGGGGAGAGATATGACTCTGTGTGCTCCATCCCATTGAACCGCAGCAAGTTGGTCCGGGCCATCAAATCCTGCGGAGTCTTGGCTGGACGACGGCCACTGCAACTGGATGGTTGCCAGCTTGGGGAGGGTTCACGCACACGTATAAATCTAAGATGGATGCCTGGACTAGGTCACTGTGCAAAGCTGAAGGCTGTAGCATAATATCACCGCCTCCATCACTACAACAGCCCACAACGGCGAAGCCTGTCCCAACCAGCTCGTTATTGCAAACAGCCCATTTTCCCGCGCAAGACACGTTCAGACAGTACACATGTCAGATGCCCATCAAAGTCCGGGAAAAAACAACAAAAACGGACTGGCCCAACTCCGGTTTACAGTCTACGGATACGTCCGGAACGGTGTAGTTAGTGTAGTTGTGGTGCCACCTAGAAATGGCACTGTGTCAAACCGGAGCACCTGCAATCGGGAAGGCAATGCAGGGAAAGCAGCCTAATGAAGGCTTAATGTCGTCGACAAGCGTTTAACAACAAGGCGGATTGCTCAGCCAGCTTCGTCGAGAAGATGGCTCCTGATACCCCGGAACTACCCGTGTTGAAGCTAGTTCGACGTCTGGTGCCTTCCCAGAACACCCGAGACGGAAGCACGTGCGCAGGTCGACGAAGAAGGGCATACCAAGTCGTAAACACTCAGCAAAACACAGTTGAGACAGCTCAGTTGCATTGCTGTTGCGGCAGTGTTGCCGCTTCGGCATGTGTTTTTTGCTATTGCGTGCGCAGGGCGGAAGGGTGCTTGTTGTTGCTGCTGGGTGGTGCTTTATCGTTTGCAGTTGGAGCCGGAGCGGGCCTTCACTCGCTTGCCTGTGACTCTGCTGCGGAGCACGACGTCGCCGACTCCGATCTTGCTGTAACTCCAAGGTGACGCGCCCGCAATCGGCCGCAACCTCTCCTCTCAGGCAGCGGCCGGTGGCACTCCGGTGAGGCCTCAGCAGCCAGAGGCTCAGGGCTCCCATCGGTCCGGCGGTCCGGGTCCCCGACTGGGGCGGTGCTGCGGGTGCCTAGAAGTTGAAGAGAGCTTGCTAGCATCTGAAGCAGCAGCCAGGACTGAGCTTGCAGTCAAGGCACCGGTCCAAAAACCGGCTGAGGGCTTCCTGCACAATCTGCACTGTGACGCAAAAAGGCGGCGGATAGCGGATGGGCGCCTGAAGCCGGCTGTTGCTTTGCCACAGCATCTGCTCCACGAGCTCCTGCGCTCTCTCTCTCGTCCTCCCTCGGAGTTCTGCAGAAGCGGCAGCTCCGTCTCTCCTTGGCCGCCTGAACACCGCCGAGCACTGGCTGCGTCACCTGAGACAAGCGACATGAAGCTTCCGGATGTGCCAATGTGCTGTGCTCTTCCAAACTAGCATGCCGCAGTAGCAGCGCCAGCATGGCTTGCTTCGAGTCTCATGGCGCAGGAGAATGCCTCCGGAGGAAGCTGGCCATAGAGCTCGGAGCACTTCTGGCCGGCCATGAGAACCACCTTTGCAGATTTGGATTCGGGCATGTTCAGCATTTCATCTTTCCACGTATAAAGTCCCCCAAAGGCACATGAGCAAGAACTAGGATAGAGATATCCCATAAACACCCCTGATAATGAAGCCCAACAAAATACACATGGTCCCTGATCGTAGAAGTGTACTCCACTCCCGAGCGGGCACCGCGAGCACAGCGGCTCCACGACTCCGGTCGCAAGCGAGTAGACAATCCGAGCGATCGGCCGGCTGTAACCCCTCCAGCCTCACCGCAAGAGCGAAGAATTCATGGCATCTGGAGAGGAGTTGAGAGCGCCTTCGAGCAGCTTCAGCATGAATGACTTCCGTGGCGTTCCTGGGCACGGCATGCGCAAAGCACAGCGAGGACTTGCTCAGTGCAGGAAGCCTCTGGGCACCCAGCCATAGAAGACTGCGATAGTGATTGAACTCAGGCCTCTGGCCCAACCCGAGCCTTACACGTGGCCACACATCTGTCTACAACATCTTAGGCCCGGGAGACTAGACATAGGCTGGATAGGAGCCACGCAGTGCTAAGCCCTCTTCGATAGAGTGGCTACCCAGGTCCTGCGCTGGTGGATGCCGCTTCGCTGCTTCGCGCTTTGGCTGCAAGATTCCATCTGCTCGCCTGCAGCAGGCTGAAGCTCCTTCCGATGAGGTCTCCCGTTGGCTCTCCCGCACCTCGCAAACTCGCAAAGTCGAAAGCCAGAGCACATGTCCTCGCTAGGCCTTCCAGCTCCAGGATTCGCGCAACCTCCAAAACCCCCGGCCCGGACATGACAACAAGAACTCAAAAGCCTAGGCCTAAGAGATTCTGCCTGCTGCTCAACGAGGCGTTGCAGCTCCACGCCTCGGAGAGAAAGTCGCAAAGTGAGTTGCGGTGACTGGGACATCCGGTGGCCCGGCAGCTGTCGGGTGGAAGACTCGGGAGCCTGGCTGCGAGAAGGCCACTCCCTCTCTACAAAGAACGGAAACAAGGACCCCTGGCTCCTACGAGCATGCGCTTGACGGGGCTTTTATTAGTGCTGTGCGGGAGAAAGCGAATGTGGTGGTATCCGGCACCAGGCAGGACTCAGACACAGCGGCCTAAACTCCTCTCTTGACTTTCGATATCACATCAATGGGGCCGCATGTGTACGCAAACGTGGCTGCAACCCCTGCGCAAGCTGCCAAGCAGCAGGTTTCCCCTCGTCACGCCCAACACAGAAGGAGCAACCACGTCATCCAGAAGAAAGACGCAAACGAACCAAAAGGTACGATGTGCTCCTGCAGTTCCGTGCAGATCAAGTGGAAATGATAGAAGTTTGCCAGTCCCACCCGCTGACCATGGACTTCGAGTTGGCTTGCTTTTCTATTTCTCTCTCAGCCATGCAGTCCCGGATTTGAAGGCGATGTGGCCCGAGACTGTGGCTCTCTCTTTCTTTCGCCAGCTATGGTGCAGGGGTTTCCCCCTACACCGCGCGCGTTACGCCCCCGACTGGTGCCGGTGCCATAGAACTCTGCGTGCACACACCAACGAGGCAGTGATCGCGAAAAAAGATCGCCAAGTAGATACATCAAGCAAGGATTGCTCGATATTGCTTCTGTGGCTCTCTTTCTTTCTTTCTCCAGGACTGGGGGTGAGAGGATTGCTCCCCTCACCCTGTGGCTTCTTCCACAGGGCATGAGGGACTGTTAAGGTCCCTCGGCCGCCACAGGGTCTCTCTTTTCTTTCCACAGGGCTGTGGTGCAGGGGTTTCCCCCTACAGGGTCTCTCTCTCTCTCTCTCTCTTTCAGGGGTGGTCTCTGTGGTCTCTCCTCTCTGCCTCCGAAGCTCCTCCAGGCGGCGCTGATCCACAGCATACCTGCCAAGTGCAGGCTTTTCTCATACGCAAGAAGGCTTGTAACGCTTGCCGTAATCGGAAGTGCTGCCAACTGACAAGAAGCACTTATCTGAGACATGCAGGGAAGAACAACTCCGCGTGCAAGAACGCATTGAGCCAGTTCTTGCTCAGTCTTATGAATTACTATTGATTTAAAATCATCTCACTCATTCTCAAGTGTCTGAGCTTCGGATAGGTTCTGATCGAGATCACAAACACATCTAGGCCAACAGCTCCGGTACTGGTTGACTATACTTTCCCCATGCCCGTGCCAGGTAGCGAAGGATGCCGACAGCGCTGCAAGCACGGAGGAAAGCCTCAGTGAATTCCGATCGTAACCGGCTGCGACAAGGAGTCATGTGCTTAGGCAGCTGCCACCGCATCACGGAGAGCTGTGCAGGCTCTGCGCAGGCTTTGCAAAGCAGACCCGAGCTACCCGACCCCCCGGTCCGGGAAAAGCCCGCTAGCTGCCAAACCGCCCCCTCGACACAGCGGCGGAGTGGTTCTCAATCCGAATCTGTCCTCTGTTCGCGTGCTGCCGCGCTCTCATTGTTGCACGGAGCACGTCCACCGGGTCTCAGGTTCTCATTTGGCTACAGTACAGCACCAATGGCAGGGCATATCGCGACTGATGTGTCGTCCATTTAAACGCTTTGTTCTCCTATGCTGGTTTTTCTTGTCTAAATCACCCTCTCTGTCTTCTTCTGCAAGGCTCACAATGATGGGCCTTTCCTTGTTGAAAAATACAAGAGCAGAGGTACATCATCAGTTCGTATCTTTTTGCGAAACCCAACTCAGCTTGTCCCCTGAACCTGCGGTTGGATAGCGAGGGGGATGCGGAAACTCCTCCCTACCTCCTTCTGCAGCTTCATGCTCATCACCCGGATGCACTTCACAAACGTGGTGTAGGGAATCTATCATCTTTGACCCAGGTTCTACTCATCGTTGAAAGCTGTTTGGATGACTCTGTTCCAACTACAGCCGACGCGAATACCGTCGTCTAATCTGCAAACGACTCATAGACAGGAAAGGCACCGACCAATCGTCATACGAGGTTGGGATTCAGAACTGTAATCGCGGTTAGATCTCGAACTGTTCTGTCGGAGCAACGACATATTAGCCGTTTGCACAAACCTCTTTGCACATGCTGTTGAAGGAGTGCCCCAAAACTGCTGCGGGTTCGAGTGAGGGGAGGGGAAAAAGCCTCAGCATGTATAGCGTTTCTGCTGCCGGCTGTGGGGCACAGGCGCTCTGCCATAATTCGACAGGAAACCTGTTTTAAGAACACTGAAACGATCTTCGAGTCTGCAATCTGTTTTCGATCCGCATTCTGCCGAGGTTTGCGTGGGTTGACGTGCTGCAAGCATCTGCGCAGCTCTGGACAAGGTGACAAAAGCTGTGCCAGCTTGGCTCTGAAACAAGCTGACAGCAACGGCATCCGTGAAGTTCGTTGAAAACTGTAGCACATTACATATGGTTGACAGAGCTGCCATACCGTTCCAAGGTCTTTCGAGGCGAGTTCGCCTGTGTCACCCGTGCAGGGGCCGGCTATCACGAGGCCCCTGCCACGGGACTTCCCCGGTCTTCCCTCGGTTGCACGGGGTTGGGGGAAGCAAAACAAAAGACGCTGCTTGCGAGCACTTGAAGCAATCTCTACCCTTTACTCGTCATGCTGCAAGGAAGGCCGCAAGCCCTAAGCTTGAAAAGGAAGTTGAACAACCGTCAAATTCTTTCTGCGCGAATGAGTCGGGGGAGGATACGACAGCACTTTCTGGGAGTTGAGCCCTCTCATCCACGCAGGTGAGCCTCGAATTGGGAGGGAGGTGCCTCCTCCTCCCCCCGTTTCCCCCCCTGCCCTTGCAAGTTAAAATCACTTCTCGAGGCGCGTCCGTGACCGGCCGTGACCTCCTGACTTCCGCCCAGCGCGTGGAGCCTGGCACTGCCACTGCAGGGCTGGGACCGACAGCGCAGAGGGCCTGGCCTACGGCTGCCGGCGCGGCAGGCCAGGGCCAGGCCTCCTCAGTGTGCGATACTCGGAGACAAGACGTGCTATTGGAGCTGAAGCCAAGGCCGCGCCTCAGTTGGCCTTTTCCTTTCCCCAGCGGCCCTTCGGCGACTGCGGGACCTCGCCGTGAACGTGCACAGGGGAAGGCGACAGCAGCTAGCAAGAAGGAGTGTCCTCGATGTCTTGGAGGCATAGAGGGCAAACCTCGAGTTAATGGTGAAATGTCATGTGGTGTATCGGTCGAGATTCCGCTGTATCCGGCCTTGTTTCTTTTCAGCCACTTGTCGATGCAGCCCCTGCAGGGCTTGGAAGACTTCCGTACAGCAACAGCATGCAACAGCCATGACTGAGCTCGGAGTGAAATGGGCGCCTGTGGAAGCTGTGGCCGCAGGGCAGACGCCGCAACACGGCATCTCTGTCGAACTCACTCAAACACCTGCAGCGGGGAAAGGTGCAAGCCAAGAAGTCATGGGCTCTGATGCCCTGGGTCGCCGACACCGCGCAACTGGTCTCCGAGTCGCCTGGGCGCACCTCAGGGGAGTACCTCAAGCTTGGAAGGGATCATCCGATTTCTGCGAGCATCCGCGCGTCCTGCGAGCCCCTGGCACAACCAAGGGCATCGAGTCGATGAGCTCCTGGGAGGCACCTCGGGCAGCCGCCAAGCCCGGGGAGGCATCCCAAGCAAAAGGACGCACGTTTCGACTCGCGGCGTTGCCGAGGCTCCCTCCTCGTGGCTTCGGGGGCGGTTGGTTCTGGAAGCGCGGCGGGAAAGAGTGGTAGAAGACAATCAGTGTCATAAGCAGCCTGTGACGTGAAGAGCTCATGGGTCTCATGTACTCTTATAGAGTTGTCAGACCTGGCCACAGCTGCGAAGATCACTGCCAAAGATAGCCTCATAGCGCCACTCAGCCCGTCTGATTCCAACAGGGAGGATAACTCGAGGAAAGTGTCCTTTTCTGGAATCTCTCTCCGACTCGGCTGCACTCGGCTGCGGCTCCGGACCGGTAGAGGCCAGGGCAAGGCTTGCAGTACGTGGAGTTCAGCAGCCAGACCTCGAGCCGGGCAGCCGGGCCCCTCGATTCCGTCCTCCGGTCCGGTGCCCAGGCTCGCTCTCAGGCTCCAGCCACGCCGAGAATGAACCAGCCATAGGTGACGATGGACACAACCTGCGCCCATCTTTTTGGCACTTCCCTTTCCCCGACTTCTGTCCCTGTCTGTCCCTGCGAACGGCCTTACTAGTCCTCCAGGCGGCGCTGTGCGTCAGGTGCCGCACGCACTCCTCTGCCATGCGAGCATCCACCGCTCTGGGCACGGCACAACTGAGCTCCTGGATGTTGCCATTCAGGCGCTGGATGTGGCAGAGGCGGAGGAAGAAGACCAGCCGAACCGGCGCCTCAAGCAGAAGGCGTGCCAAGGATGGCAGAAAAGCTTAGACATGCCTGGAGCAGCTGCAGCACACAGTGGACCAGAATCCAATACCTCGAGCATCTGCACAGTCTGGCATGCCATGGCCGAAGGACCGCGGGCCCGCAATGCCTCAGGGGTCGGTTGCAGAGGCCGCAAGGCCCCCAGTACCTCACAGGTTTGCGGATGACTACAATAGACTTTGGACTGCCTCCTTGGACCTGTCACCTTCTCGCTCTGATCCATCGCGGCTCACATGGTCAGGAAGAGTCCACAGGGGATGGAGATAACAACGCCCGAGATGCTGCCGAAAAACATCACCACCTTGAAAAATCAACGCTGAGCTCCACTGGGCTTCTTCTGGTGTCCCCGCACCTTGATGAACCATGCGGCCTCCTCCGGGTACTGGTGCACCACCTGCAGTTCGGCAGGCCATTCTTGGATTGCAGACAAATTGCCACTAACATCAAGAGTCAAGGGCTAGGTGCACGACGTCCAACAGCGGGTCGGGATTCTCCGCCGCATTTTCCGCGCCTCAAGCACCGAATTTGTTCCTCACTCTGGGTTGTGTCAGAAACTTCTCAGGCCCTGTCCATCGAAGAAGCTCAGCAACCGCTCTCGCACCTCTAGTTCTGCAGCTGCAATGTTGACAAGCTTAGCACATGCTGAGCTCGCTGCGAGACGCGCCATTCCCTTCCTGCCTCAACACCACGGCTCTTGCATCGACTGTCGGGGCCTTCTCAAACGGAGCTCAGAATCAAGCAGCCGCGCCGGAAGCACTGTCCTACAAACACCTCTCTGTGAGCTACAGTGCGTTTCGTGGGCCAAGAAAGTCGTCTGCATATGAAAGTTAGTTACGTCTTACGGCTAACATGCTTGGGGTGTGCCGAAGGCAACAAGCAAATACTGATAGTTGGATAGCCTGAGTGTGGCCCGGAAAACTATTCAAACTCTACAGACTGTTCCTGGAGCCGCCAACATCCGCACGACCGCGCTGCTTCATGAAACTGCACGAGGGCAGGCGCAAGCATTAGCACCAACGCTGTCTCCAGTGCTGAAACAGGCCGGGCATATACCAGGCTGCTTCCGCACATGTACTTGTCGTTGTGTAAAGTACACGTACATTATAGGTTGCTCAGCGAATGTAATTCGACAGAGTTGATAGTGCAGCAACATGCCAGCAATGATCATTTGTTGACTTCCGGCATGCGTCGCCTGCAAACTGCAGAGCTTTGTTGGACTGACGGGCGTTGTAGCATGACGATTGCATGCTCCATAGTGTTGAACCAAAGAATGCTCCGAGACTCAACAAAGCTCTCTAGTTCGGAGTCAGGCACCAATGTCACAGCTGTGCCACTGATGCCAGGTCCGAGACAGTACTGCAACGGCAAGGGCCAATCGAAAATGACAGTGACCAGAAATGAAAGAGGTCAATTTCGGAATCGGTGGAGAGACCACATGTTTTGTGCTTGTGACAAACGACTCCTGAACACATCCGAACGAGGCGGACAGTCTTAAGCACAGGTCCCATACCGGGTGTTGGCGAGTGACCAGTAAACCTGTCAGATGCAGTGTGCCGGCAGGACTGACTGTGCTCTTCCCCCTCGACTCATTCCGGCCTCCTTGAACTGCCCGCTGCAGCAGTAATCAGAGTCGCCGGCATTAGGATGATCCCGGCCGTTCTTCATCCACCGCTTTCGATGCCGAGACGCACATCCCACGGCACACGCCTGCCGGCAGGTTGTCTTACATGGCCGAGGCACACAATGCCTTATCGGCCAAATGCATGTCGACACTGCAGCATCCTTGTGCAAGCTGGGAAAGTCGGCAACACAAGATGGGAGCCCATGCACATGGAATCTGTTGCTGTTTCGGCAAAACTCAATCGAGAGACAGAGCAAAATTCCCGGCCTTGCAGTATGTTCCGACACAAGGCACCTTCAGAACAGCGTGTGAATAAAGACATATAGACTTGTGCAGTGCAAAAGATGTTATCAACATGAATCAAACGCCAGCTTAGAACCCCAAACAGTGAACTACCATACATTATACATCGACAGCGGGAAATTTGCAGGACAGCAAAACACCATGAGGGACAAAGTGCTTTCGCCCAAGTACTCTCGCATCGCACTGCCGGGATTCATGCAAGTACTGGCGTACATCGGAAGCACGAGACTTATGCTTAGCTTGCGTGATCCAGAAGAACGCCCGAAATCGTTTCCCCCACATACTGCTGTGAGTTTGGGTTTTCGAGAGCAAGAAGCAGTCCAACAAATATTGTTGACAATGGATCGGGCTTGCCGGAATGTGTTGCGTGGCAAATAATGCGTTTAGCAAAGACAAGTTTGTGCCGCAACACAGTGGGAGATGCGAGCCGCGAGCATCCCTTGTAAATGACAGGACGTGGGAGCTGATTTACAGCATTTGCTGTGAATGATAGGATGTGGGGAGCAATTGTTCTGCACGCACGCCGCACGGGAACCTCACACAACAGTATTCACCCTGAACGCAAGAACCCCTTGGTGTTGCCACACTTTTGGGGAAGAATTCTGATCTTCACAAGAGCTGTGAATAGCGAATTAAACTTCTGCGCCTTGCAGTTGTCGTCCTCGGAAGGACAATCCAGTCTCGTGCCCTCTGGCGCGCACAGGACAGAGGTGGCTTTCCTGGACGAGCGAACGTTGCTTTCAGCTGCCCTTGTCTGCCCATACGTGTCCTACCCAGGTGTAGTTATGTTACTTGGAACATGGACCTCGCTACCCGGACCACTGGCCTACCGTGCTCGATTTTCCGGTGCGTTGTAGTGCATCGCGACTTTTCAGTTTCGTGTAGGCTTGCGTGGCCGGAAGGTGGGTAGTAACGTTTGCTGGTAGCGGGTGAAATCCTCAAGCACCTTGAGCAAACGCGAGTTCTGTAAGAACAATGTTCGAAAACTCGTAGTCTCGAAGTAAGGTTAGACTCGAATCCCCCTTCATGCATCGAAATCAGAAATGATGTGTACTACAGTGATACTGCCAGGCTTCAACACTCATTTTCAACAAATCGAACCTACGACTTGCAATGCGCCTGAATCCGAAACCTCAGTCATTCTTGCTTTCGCGATTTCCTTTACATGCGTTCAGGCTCGCCACTCCGCCTTGAAGTTTCTCAAGAAGTTAAACGTCAATCTATACTCCTAGGCCTGCTGCCAAAAATCATGCAGCAATGTGCAGCATTTTTTGGCTTCGGGGAAACGTCTTACCAAGAACATGATCTGCACATAAGCTTAGCAGGGCCATCTTGCACTCTCCATCCTATTCAGCGCAAAGCTCGTGATTCAAATTCGCTTCCAGTGTATGGACAGGGAGTAGTAGCAATAATGTAACATGTCAGCCTCGCAAGTACTGGCGGGGGAGGCGTGCAGGAAGCCCGTCTCCCAACAAGTTTCACCAATGAGAACGCTGCATTTGCGAAGTTGCCCATTGTTACACATCTGTTTTGAGTGCACGCTGTGTTCCTGCACATGCATTTGTGCAACAAGATGGCAGCTTTGAACTAAGGGAAGATTCCAAGCTAATTGAAGCGAAAATGAGCCGGTGTCTGGAACAACCCTGCAAGCACTTTCAAATCTTTTTCGACGTTACCTGATTTTCAAGCCCTGGAATGTTGTCAGGGACGGGTCGCATGGTTGGCTGATGCGCAGGTTGCTCGGCCTCGCACTTTGCAAACGGATTTGTGTCAAGTTTCTGTAATACAACGACCATTACATCGGACAATGCATTTCAATGTTGCGCCTGGTGCATTGCCTAGCTCCTGCCATCCGTGCAGTTTCCGTGTGAATTTTGCTTGTAACTGAGCCTGGTCATGCATGGGCTAGAGGCTAGGGGCACAGCCGCGGTTGACAAGGTGAATGAAGTTAGCTGAGCTGTGTCCTTTCAGTGCTTTTGTGGCTCTCGTAGTTGGTGCCGGAGCCTTTGGGCAGGTAAGACCTCGGCGTGACTAAGTCCCTCCATCGCATCGAGGTGGAAAGCTCCGGTTGGGTGCCAGACTTGCGCTGCAAAGACGGGACAGGAGTCATATCCTCACAGCAAGCACGCTGCCTTTTGGCGTGGGAACGAAGGAAGGCGAAAAGATGAGCAACGGGCTTGGCTTTGTGCAGCCTTCGTAAATTTGGCCAACCAGTAACGACCTGTCCGACTGGCGCGCCTTTAGCAAAGTGCACACACTGAATTGGCAACGGAAACCGCCTGCCTCGCAGCACATTCCAAGCAGCTTTTCGCCACTCCATGAGACATGCGCAGTCATTGTTCGTGTTGCCAAGGGCATTGATGGTCGCTCCGATGGGGTAGTTGCTGCTGTGGCAGAAAGCACCAGACTGATGCTCCATACAGCAGAGATCGTGGAGGATCGATCCTACCTCAGACGATTCGAGCATGAGGCAGCGCATGCAACGTTGCACAGAAAAATGCCGCAGCATTGCAAACTCACAAAATTTCTCAACAAGCCGTATAGAAAATGAAGTGAGGGCACGCTTGTCTTCAGCGTGACGGTTCCATCGCCATGATCTATTGGAGCCACAAGGTTGATCGACAGCGTGCCCACGACACCAAAGTCGAGATCGTAAGGCACGCCAGAGCAGTCCACGCCAGTACCACCAACACAATTGTCGAACGCACAATCACTTCCACGGTTGGGGCACTTCATGCGTGTAAAGCTTCCAACTTGTTCGTACTCAAACGGCACGTCATGCAATTGATTGCACACGGCATTGCTCCCACAGCAGTTCTCATTCGGCGGCATCCGAGCTGAGTCCTTCGCCCACGAAATTGAGCGGTGTGTCCGACCTTGAAGCAGCATCGGTCCGTCAGTGCTGCAGTTGCTGGCCGCGCTGGCAGCCAGGCACAAGAGGCAACCCGCTGCGGTCACAACTTCGAGAAGAGATGCCATGACTCTTGCGACAACACTCTAATCCGGAATTCTGACACTCACCTTCTTGTAAGCCAGCAGGGATGCAAACTCAGTCGCCAGCAACACGGACTGGAATCCTAACTCGGGCCTGTGGCTTCGACAAAACCAATAACGAAGCACAGCACAACAAACAGAATGACGAAGACAGTGCAGTTCTGAATTATGTGTTGGTCACACCTGCAAGATCGATAATCGGCTGATAGCACCTTCGGAGCTGCAACTTTCTTTTCACGGGCAGAAACCGGCAGCAGCCGTCAGCTACCTGCGGCAAGGGGGGAGGGTGGCAGTCCGTGTCCGACCGTCGACCGTCCGACCTTCCAAGGATCCGCGAGAAGATGCCTGGAGAAGAGCAGCTTCGAGTGAAAAAGCGCTTGGCCGCTGCACCTCCGTCGCTTTCGGGAGCTGCGGGTGGCTCAGAAGCTTCCCAACCTCAGCAACTTGGCGGCGAGAGCGGGCTCAACCTACATGGCTCACTGGGCCTCTATAAAGCTCCGAGAAGAAGGCCTTTCAGAGAGCGGCGCTGCGCCAGCTGGGCTGCTGTTCCCTTCGCTTTTGCTTTGTTCCCCTCCTCGTCCTCCTCTTCCTCAAGGCGACTTCTTGCGATCCTTCTGGGCATGGCAGGCAGTCCCCCCAGCCTCCTCGATAGGTCCGATCAACCGCGAGCCAAGCCTGCACCCAAACGCCCGAGCGATCAACACCAAACCCAGGTGTTTCTCGAACTGAATCTGAGATGCGGGCGATCGAGACCCGGAGCCAGAGACCCGCCGGGACCTGCCGGCCAGCAACGCCAGCCTCGTTTTGCACACGGATGGCGGACCGATTCGGTCGATTTACAGACACTACAAGCAAGGCCGGCGACAACTACAGTAGGCCTTACAGTAGCTTACTTATAAGTTCATAATTTGGCTACTTGGGCAAGCTAAGTAGAGCTTTAACTTCTGATAGAACTCAAAGAATCCAACCAACCTAGTAGTTAATTGAATTATAAGTTCGAGCATCCTGGGGTGCAGAAAAGAGTTATCGGGAGCTATGGAGCTTTTTGAATCATAACGCAGATTGCAAAACTTTTCAAAACCTATCCCCAAAAAAAGCTTTAACACATGCGTTTGTGTTTTTTAAACACATGCGAATGGCTCTGCATGTTTTCATTGGTACGGGAGGGCGGGCGTTCATTTCGCAGGCAACAATTCAATCGCTGTAAATCGGATCTTGAGCTGCAGAAAGTTTCGGCTCAAAACGCAGATTTGTCATGAGAAAGTCATAGGAAGAAACAATGATAGCTACCGGAAAAACTAGCATCCTGAAGATTGTAGAATTTCAGAGCACTGTAGGGCAGTACAGACACAGTGCACGGACAATTCCAAAGTAAGTGTTGGATCACTGCAGAACACTATAGTTTGAAGAAAAAACACTGTGAATAACGCAAAGGATGATGGGATTGATGCCGCTTCCGTATCTGGCATGCAGCACAGCGGTGGTGCCGCGCATCTTTTGGGCATGATGGAGCAGCCACGCATCCCTCCGGCATGATGCAGCAAATGCATTTCAGCCGTGGTCGCATCAGTTTTCAATCCATCAGAAGCTGCTCTGCGGACGTATCTTGAGGAGAGATGTTTGAATTAGCTGGGGACTACACAGGTGCGGACGCAAATTGCTGCGATGGATGGCTCTGAGTCCCAGCCTGCGTTGTTGAGCAAGATGCTGGCAGAGAAGCTCTGTGGTCCGCAAAAACAGAGAGATCGTGAGCCAATATGCAAGGTTGGAGTTTGCCACCTTTGTACTACTTGACGGATCCGGCTTGGTCAAAACTGGTGGCACGGTGCTGTTATTGACAGGCTGCATGCAGGTGTTGGGAGCACGGCTGTGTGCGATGGGCCTGCCAAATCCAGTGCGTGGAAACGTGGCATCCGCGTAACTGTGCTTGGACATGGCAGAATGAAATATGGCTGAGCAGCATGCTTTGTTTTTGAGTTTCTTCGCTTGAGCAGGGCACGCAGTCAACCCACATGTTTTAGATACCCAGAGTTGTCATGTCACACATTCTCTCATGCCATGCAACCACTAAGGACTTTGGTTATGGGATGAATGTCGAATGCCGACTGTCGAAAACGATGTAATTTGTTCGTAGATCTAGCCCGAAGGAAAAATGTCGAAAGGTATCGAGTGCATGCCATGGCCCCGAAGATCGATACTTGTCGAAAGATGTCGCATGATGTCGCGCGAACATTTCCCAACATCATACTGTCACCTCAAGCAACATGTATGCGACTGCGCCAAGCAGACGAACATGTCGCGGAACCTCCGCAAAAGCAAGCCATCCTGTGCGCTTTCGTTGCACGCGCGGCTTTCTTTGGCATCCGGACTTTCCGACACCCTTTGCGGGAAGCACCGCAGCTCATATGTATATATGGTTCCATTATATTTGCAGGCTTCTCCGTCTGATTAGTACGAGACTTCCGCGCTGAGTGTTGCAGTTTTTTCATTCTTGCGCCAAACATTTGCGGCTTAAAGCATGCGAAAACTGTTTTGAAACATGTGTTGCTTTCCCATGGAACGAACGCAGTTGTGCTTGTCACGATAAACTATAGCTTTAAGCCGAGACAGGCAGCACGCAAAGAACCCTCGCGGACCACTGCCGTTGCTTATAAGAATAAACTTATGGAGGATTGCGGAGTCGTGTCAACGTTCAACGCTGTAATCTTGTTAAAGCATCTTGAGAATCCTCGCAGACCACCGGAGCTGCAATTCTCAACCCTCGCGGACCACCGCAACTGCCGTTCTGAATTAACATGTGCTTTCGAAGCAAAACATGCATCATGGAATGAACCCTCGCGAAAAAAACGGTGTGCAAAGCGCCTGGTACATGGATGCTGCGAGCGGTGGTCCGCTGGTTCTTGCTGTCTGAAGTTGCGCAGAGAATGACAAAATTACAGCGTTTTTCCTGTAGATTCTGTGCAAGACTGCTGTGCATGGCCCAAAGCAGAGAAAAAAGAAGTCCATTGCTGGGAATTCATGGCAAACTTATGGCTGTTTCAGCGTTCGCACTTCCACATCTGAACTTGTCAGTTCGAAAAACACTGCAAGCAATTTTGCTGTTTCAGTTTGGATCCCAAAAACCTCAGCTGCAGTGAGGCACGAGGTGTTTTGCACAATATTTTTGGAAACTGCCAAAACCTTAAACAACAACACGAAATAAGTTATAAAGAGCTACAGAACTCATAAGTTACTTATAGCTTAATTACTACTGAAGCTCGGTTTGATAAGCTCCGTAGCTTAAGTTATAAGTAAGCGGCTGACGGTCGCCGGCCCTACTTTTAGTCGGCACTTCAACCAAGCAACATGTCGGCTGGGGTGAAACTATGAAATAAATAAATACACACTCATCTTGGGTGATGCACCCAAGCGAAGCCGGGATTGCCAAACTCCTAAGCCAAGCCACAAATGGCATCGCATTATGCTAAGCTAATTTGGGGCAGCCCAACAGAGTGGGATAATTCACAGCTTTTTGTGGATTTGCCAGCTTTGCTTGGGAACTTCTGGTGCCGCTCGAAAAGTCAAATCAATTTATCGAAATTCACGCTCCGAGCCTCCGAGTGTTTGGGCTACGAGTCTAACCAGAGGCCACATATCGAAGCCCTGGTCTGGTCTATAGTCTTTGGAGCTGCACCCACCATCGGCAAATCGTCTTGTGGGCTACACCCGAGATCCACGCACCGAGTGATGATGGCCACAGCACGTGTTCGATTCATGCGACGCCCGAATGTCGCGGCACAGCACCAAAGTGCACGACGATTCGACAGGGACTGATACGGCATCATGCAGTCGGCGCGGTTTTCCACCTTGAGATATCTTGAGATGTCCCACGATCGTCATGGATTGGCATGGCTCGGCGAGCTAAGGCGGAGCCACAACAAAGCGACTTGGCGACTGCCCGGCGACGCCGGGAGCTGAGCATGGCACCTCGACGTGCCAGCTCCTGAGCGCTTGTCCGCAAGTACGAGCCGAGGATTTCGGACGGCTCCCCCCTCCCCGCCTGGAGAGGACGTGCCCGCCTGAAGCAGGGCCGCGAGGCAGCAGACACTCCGCTGCGCTGCACTTCCTGCCTCCTGCTGTGCACACGCGACCTGCGCTAGCTGCTCTTGTGCCGTCTGCAGCCGACCTGAGACCCTCTGCCGTGTTCCCGTCTCTTTCCGGGGCTTTCGGTCTCCTTTTTGAAGGGCCGCTGCTTTCCAGCTGCTCGGCCTGCTTGGCCATGCCTAAAAGAAACGGCGTGAGCACCGAGCACCCATGGCGTGAGCTCTGCGCCGCTTGCGGGGCCCGGGCGGCGCTGCTCGGCGCTGAGCCGGAGCCGCTCGCTGCGCTCCTCGCCTCAAAAGAGACGAAAGCAGACGCAGAGGGATGAGAGAGGGATGCGAGTCGAGAGCGAGAGCAAGGGAGGAAGCTTTGGGCTTTGGGGCAGTTTCATCTCGAAAGAATTCCGTGCGTGCGAGAAGGGGCTGGGACGCAGGCCAAGGGCGGCGGACAGTGAGTTCAAAGAGCTGGAGCCGTTGGAGCCGGAGCCTCAAAGAAAAAGGTGAACACAAAGAGGAAAAGAAACAGAGTGAAAGACAAAGAAGCGCAGCCGCGGGCCGCTGAGAAAAAGTGCAGGAGAGTTGTTTTAGCGAAGAGTGAGCAAGGAAAGGCGCCTTCAGCGCCTTCACCCTCCACGCTCAGCACCGGCCTCCGACCTTGCACTCACGGCTGTCGTGGCGACTATCCCGGCCATTGGAGGACGTATCAGACGACAACTTTCGGATGCCAGAAAAGGAAGGGAAAGCGACTCTTTTTGACTCTCCGTTTTGCTTTCGGAAGCTCAGCTCGGTGGCGAGATGTGCACGAAGCCCTTAGTGACGCAAGAATGCACTGTACGACGCGGTGACGTCTTGCGCTCGCGGGGGCCCGGGCCTTGTCCAAGTCAACGGCTCGAATTTGGAGGTTCGTCAGCACCTCCCCGACTTGGAAGCGCCGCCCAGCTGTACGGAAGCAGCCATCCTTCTCCTCAGACAGGGCAGCGTGGGGAGATGCATGTTCAGAAAAAGTAAAGGGATCCGAGTATCAGCCCCAATGTCCACCCAGACCCGGTTCAGGAAACAGTTTGTGACCTGATCACAGTCAAGTGTTAAGTTATTGGCTTTCGAATCAGGATTTCACGAAGCGCGGGGCCTTTCCGCTTACGATGCGACCTTGCTAAGCTTAGGCGGCAGCTCTGTGCAGCAGCAATCGCTCACAACAGTGACCGGGCAGATGACCTACTTCCAATTCTGCGAGCGGCTGCCCCTGCGCGGAATAAGTCAAATAGCAAAGCGCAAACTTGCAGTCCCAAGCCTACGCGTCTACGCACGGCTACGCACGTCTGCGAATCCTGCACCGACGGACCTCTTTGTGTTGCCAGCCCGACGTGGGCTTGGTGGACAATGCTGTCCAGACCTGGCTGTGAAGGGCAGCCTCCCAATTGTGTGCCTGCCCTATGCTGGCAGATTGAAGGCTTTCGCAAGTGAGGTGAGCCCATCACAGGCTTCCTCTGCATCCTGTGGCTCCGATGCTCCGGGGATCACCAATGACGAGCTTCATGCCGAAGCTAAGACATGATTCTGGTGGATCTTGAACTTGGGGCTTCGTGTGGGTGTGCCCATGGACATGCCGACATGCCACTCAAGCAAGGTTCCACAGCTCTGAAGGTCCTGTCCCCACTCTAGACACCACGGCGCAAAGCTCTTGAAGCTGGTCGGCCTGCGAAGAGGATTGACCCGCTGGCGCTTTGCCCTGGCAACGGCTCGGCTTGGCTCGGCTTGGCTTGAGAACCGTTCAAGCATGTTCGCCTTCGACGGTTTGGCCGTCTTGGGCGGCTTGGGTGCGGAAAGGTGGACATAGCCCTCACAACGCAAAGCCAAGGTCACAAGTTCGTGTTCGAAGGCTTTCGCGACTTGAAACGTCTCTCGCTCTCTGCCTTATCGAGGTCGACTGCGCGGATGGCCAGGTTCCGCAGCATCTCGCCAACCCGGAACTGCTGCCCTTTGGGTGAACGGAAGCAGCCGTCTTGCTCCTACAAGTGGTATGCAGATGTATGCAGTATGCAATCAAACCCAGGTGCGCGCATGATGGCAGCTTATGGCAGCCTGCACATCATTTAGGCCCAAGGAGCCGCGCTGATATCCACGAAGACCATGTCCCGGTAGCAGTTGGTGACCTGAACCGCATTCCGAACTCCCCATCTCCCTGGAAAAGGCGGTGAAGGGCAGGGGAGCCTTGCCACTCACGATGCGGCCTGTTCGCCAGGGAAGGCAACATGAACATCCTCAACAAACCATGCCAGATTGACCCCTTGGCGCCTACTTTCAGCTCGGTAAGAGGCTTTCCCTGGACAAAAAGCAGTACTCCCGCGGCCAACAAAAATGCAGACTGGTGGCCACAGGCCTCTTTGTGGCGCCAGCCTGCTGATGGCCTTGTCACCAATGCCGCCCTGGCATGGCCTTCAGCCTGCAAGTGCTGCAAGTCGCAAACATGTTTGAGAAGGAGAACTAAACTACTGTAGCATTTGTACAAGTTCCTTCGGAGAGTGAGCGCGCTCCCGCTGTAGACTACGCAAACCCTGCATCAAAGGAAATATATGTTGAACACATTTACGCCACCAATGTCACCACAAAGGTGTATTTGTACACCGTGAAACACAGCGCAGTTACAGACAAGACTGTTCGCACATGGCATTCCATGCTCGGCGGTAACCTCTGCTGTTTACATGGAAGCATGGTAGTGCTGCAGGTTGTTTTTGGCACACTTCTCCCCGAGCCAACTTGCATCTACTTGCCTTGCAGTGAACCGAAAGTTGCGGGCCTTGGCGGCCTTGGGCTGCATCTCTTCTTGCAGCTGCTGGCGCCGCGCCTCCTCAGCCTCCGTGGAACATCTCCGATCAACACAGCGGCTTTAGGAAGCGACTAGACCTGCAGATTGGTACCTGGCTGTCGGGGACGGCCTGTTTTCAGGTTGCCTTCTCAGGCTCGGCCGTTGAACCGAACCATTCGCTACCTGGTTTCATGCCTTGTCCCGTGACCTTGTCTTCGACGATCGCGTGCCCCAAGCCGGGAACACATGATCCACTCAGAAGTCAGCATCTTCTGTACAGCGCTCCAATTTTGACACGCTGTTCTGTCTTGAACAAGCTCTTAGTTTGAGTTCTCAATGATGTAAATGTGGTCAGCAAAGGTGGCCCATCAAATCTGGCGCAAGGGATCCAAGGCAATACGCGAATGCAAACAGATCCTGTTGCCCACAGAGCACATGTAGATTCGACTGACGCGCCGCCAAGTCTTTATTATGTTACGCACCGACAGCTACAGCTAAAGGACATGGTGTGTGCCTGGCACTATACCATGAAACTGAGCTGATCTGTCGGTCTGGGAATGAGACCATGACTGTACTAGCAATGGGTCCTCTTACTACGTTTTTGTTGACGAAGACTTGGTGCTCGACGTGCTGGTTATCACCTTTTGAAGGCATTTAGGCCTCAGGCAAGACACCAGGGACTGTGGCGGTCGACATGCAAGGTTTGGTTTCCGAGATGCAAAGCTCGTGCCCGACGTGCATGGCACAAGGCAGTTTGCATCTCGGAAACCTACCCGCTCCAGTTCACACAGTACGCTTTGCTACTATTTGCTATTATACTATTTTACCACAACCAGAGCCGTTTGCATCTCGGAAACCAACCTGCGCCGGTTCACCCAGGACTTTACTATTTTACTATTTCTATACTA